TTTAGTATTAGAGTAAACTAGTTTAGTGTCAAAAACTTAAGGGCAGGCATAGAAATAGACTTTTAACATATCGACTTAAAATCGTAGTAACGTGGTAGCAAGATTGGGTCGGTTTGACCGGGAAAGGATTACGCTCTCACAGAATACTAGCGTAAAATAGCAGTATACTGTGTTACAAAACATGAGTGTAGAGCACCAAAAGACCCTTTTTACTCATAACATGATTGAGCACCGACTTTCCATCTTTAGGCCTTCCACCTAAGTCCTCAGGGGTGACAACAAATTTACATTTTGATTCTTAACGGAGGATTTGTCATCTAAAAAAACATACATACATCGACGCGGCCGGCTAACCCAAACTAAAAATATACCCTAATGTTAATAATTACATTAGGATTACTTATTTTATTTACATAAATAGCAATAATATAACTTTCAATATCAATCGCTCCTACTTTTCGTCCGGTAACGAAGTGGTCCCCCAAACGAGGGTTGCCAGTTTACCGTTTCTTTATTCCATTATGCTTTAAAGAGAAATGTCAAAGCTATCGTTTGGTCGCAGCGCTCGAAGTGTTCCGATTGATGCTGAATTAACTTAAGGGAACAATAGGGCTTCTAATTTAGGATTATTAGGCACCTCCGTAATAACTTTAAGTAAATAAGCTTTTTAAAGCCTGTTTTAATTGAGTGTCAATCTTGTCTTGTCTTGTCGAAAAGACAAAGAAATCTATAGACTAATGATTAGCGTGGCCTCGAATGAGAAAGGACGATAACGTAGTTTTAGGTTATACAATAATCTTTGTGACTTTTAAACATATTTAGATAAAATTTTTAATTGTTCTAAGAACTGAACTGAACAAAATTCACCATTCTTAAGCTCACAAAACTCTTTTTTTCTCTTACTTAAACCAACTTGTAAACTGCTTAGATCAGTGATGCACAGACTTATTAAGACTAGGGGGCTACTCGGGCAAATTCTGAACTGATGGCGGGCCGCCAGAAGTATAGGTAATTGAAATTGAAAAATTGAAATTGAAATTTAAAAAAAATCTTTATACATATCAATGTGATCCTAGCTCCTGTAAAAGGTTAACCTGTGTAACAGGAGCTAGTTCCTTCCTAAATTTAACAAGCTTTTGTTGAATAAAATCACAAAAAAAATACAAAAATATATATAGATCTACTTGTTACTAAACCTACGTACATGCGCGCCGTGTATGTGTGTGTGTGTGTGTGTGTGTGTGTGTGTGTGTGTGTGTGTGTGTGTGTGTGTGTGTGTGTGTGTGTGTGTGTGTGTGTGTGTGTGCGTGCGCGTGCGTGTGTGTGTGTACATTAGTGTATGTGTGGTGAGTGTGTTTTTACTATTTACTGTGAAGATTTTATATTTTGAAATTTGTATGATTGCCTGCATTATTAATGATTTATGCGTATAATAACAAATAATATGAGAACAATAAAAAATTACAATTACATTTACATATTAGAGGTTTAATAGACATTCGGTAGCGTCATAGTCATAAGTTTGAAGCCAATTAATAATTTTATTTTTGATTTGATGGTTGTTGTAGCTTTTAGCAATACAAATTTTGTTAAATTTATTGTATAGTACTGGCGCAAGGTAAAAAAATTGTCTTTTGGCAAAAGCACTATGTGTTCTAGGGACTAAGTATCTATCTACTTTATTTCTTCTATTATGTTTTATACTGTCAAGTTGAGAGTGTGCAGAGTACCTATGGAATCGCCTAATAAATTGGTATATAAATAATTTTCTCACACTAAGTACCTGCGTTTTATCACACAACACTGTTGTGGGATGTCTATGCGGTAGAAAAAGTAATACTTTGAGCACGACACTGTGCTCTTTCAGTATCAATCAAGTAGGTACGTTTTGCCTGCCCTACCCCATGAACAGGTGCCATAAGTAATGACAGATTGACAAAGCGCATTAAAAGTTTGTATTAGTAACTTAGAGTCTGGCACCTGACGCAATGATTTAAAAACATATATGAGTTTCCTTATCCTGTTTGATATGATTTTGATATGTGGAGCCCAATTCAGTTTTTCATCGACAGTGATCCCTAAGTATTTCACAGTTTTGGACCTGTTGAGTTTTGGGCAATAGCAAGGGGTCTGTGATTGTCTCTTGCATTTATTCAAGTGTATTTGTAATCCAAGATCGTTCAAAGGACTTGAAACACTAGTCTTACTAAAACAGAGGTATATGATTTTAGAAGCGTTCAGAGAGAGAAGACTGTCTTCGAGCCAACTTGCCACTTCACATAACCCCTTTTCAGCCAAACGTTTGGTCTTTTCCCATGTACTATCATAGAATAGAATTACTGTATCATCCGCATACATCGTAATGTCTGCTCCTTCAAGATCTAGGTCGGCTAACTGATTTATATATACTAAGAATAGGGTTGGCCCGAGTGTACTGCCCTGTGGGACACTGTATGAGCAAGAAAGGTCTTGACTAATATATTTATCAAGTCTGACATACTGAGTTCTACCAGTTAAGTAAGTTCTAAACCATGACAGAACTACACCTCGAACACCCACATTTTGTAATCGAGTCAACAAAATTGGTATTGAGACGGTATCAAAAGCTTTCTGCAAGTCAATAAATACACCTATACATTTATCACCTTCATCTACATGTTGAGTAATGTTTTTTGTAAGTTTAAGAAGAGAATCTTCGGTTGATTTGTTAGATCTGAATCCGAATTGATTTTTTGAAATATAGCTATTTGTCTCTAAGTAGTTTGTTAATCTTTTATTTACTAATTTTTCGATTACTTTGGATAATACACATAAGAGCGAAATGGGTCTATAATTAGATGTTAAAGATTTGTCACCTGATTTGTGAATTGGGATTACTATTGACTTTTTAAGCGTAGTTGGGAAAATACCTGTAATAAAACTAGTATTGCAAAGATATGAAATAGGTTCTGCAAGGAATTCTCGAAAGTATTTTAGTACATTAGTGGGTATTCCATCCCACCCTGAAGCACTGCTATTTTAAGGCTACTAATAATACTTTTGACTTCACCTATGTCTACTGGACTAAGTGACATCGATTGAAGTGGGGTCAGGTCTAATTTATTGGCTTTGCAAGCTAAGGATGATTCATTCAATTGTTTTTTGTTCAAAATACTATCAGCTAATTCACCACCAATGGAGGTAAAGTACTCATTTATTTTGTTTAGAGACGAGTAGGGATTATTTTCTATGTTTAATAATTCCGTAGATACTGATTTATTTTCTTTTGAATTACTTATTTCTTTTATTATTTTCCATGTTTTTTTTTGAGTTACCAACAGACTTAGCCAGCTGTAATTGGTAGTAGTTGCGTTTTAGAGTTTTTAACATAGAATTACAGATGTTCCTATAACTTAAGTAATTATTTTTTAGATAGTTATCATCACTCGATTTCTTTAGGATTTTATGTAATTTGTCTCTTTTGCGTATACATTTAATAACATTTGGAGTTAGCCAAGGCTTTAAGGGTTTATATTTGCTTGCAATAGTTTTCACTGTACTGTTGGCTATAATACATTCTTGCAGTTTGGAGACCAGAAAACTTGCCATTTCATCTACAGTTTTTAAATTATAGTATTCTACCCATGGGAGAGATTTCAGTGCTACGCCTAATTTATTAAAGTCTATATTCATTTCGTCATACTGGTAATTAGTTCTCTTCAGATTAGAATTTCCAAGATGTAGGAGTATTGGGCAATGATCAGTAAAAGGTTCGAATACAAATGTTTTTTGTACTGAACTACTACTTTTGACCATAAAATGAAACCATCAATACCTTGTCTAAGGCCGTACGCTGCCATAAGATTTAAATAATCTGAGGAGTATCCTGTAATGTTCTGCGGGAGGATATCAAGATTAATATCTCCTGTAAAAATAATATTTTCTGAGTAAGTCTCACTTAGCAATTTTTCTATAGAATCGAGGTACGCCGTGGGGTTTCTAAAACTTGGTGCCATCATTTATTTTAGGTTCATATATTTGTACATTTGGAATATTTTCTTTTACGTATAGGACAACACCGTCATTCTGATTATGGTTTGTTTTAGTACTAAATAAGTTGTAATTATTAATTATAGGGATAATTGTGTTTTCATTAATCCAACACTCCGTTAGAACGATTATATCTATTGGTACCTCAAGTTCATCTATAAATATTATAAATGGTTCTAGGTTACGTTGAATACTACGAATGTTAACTGTTATTATATTTAATGAATTGCTACCTAAATATTTAAAATAAGTATCGTTTCTAAAGCATGCAAGATTATTTACTATTGTAAAATTGATGTCACCGGCGGTGTCAATCTCACTAATTATACGAGTATCTAAGTTTAAACTATTGAATTTGAGTAAATAGAATTGAAGGACTGCAGAGCTCGCGTACAAAAATAATAAAAAAAGTTAGTGAGTTTCAGGCGGTAATATAGATCAATAAGTAGTATTGTGTAATGAGTTATATTGTATGGTTTATGAATAATAGTTAATGTCTGTATTTGTGTAAGAATAATTATGACATGAATTTGAGTGACAGTAATGTAATGTGTGTATAAAGCAGGCGCCGTGATACATTATTCGATATTAACAAAGTAAAATATAAATATTTTGATAAGACTAATTTAAGTATAGAAATATTTTCTTTGAGTAAGTAGGTGGAACGCAGATATTTAATAGCATAACAGACACTTAAATCTGAGCTTAATAAGATTACTCACAATTTATTTCTTAATTTACTTATGTCGATTTCTGATTCAATCCCAATAAGTGGTGCACCATTTTCTTTTCTGAGAAACACCTTTCCGTACGATGTCCAACAATATTTAAAGTTGTTTTGGGATCCATATTCTCTCGCTAAGAAGAACAGTCGCTTAGTTTTTGTGGTAAGATTCTCAGATATAAAAATTGGGACACTAGGCATATCTATCTTCAAATGCTTAGTGTTTAATTTATTTTCCTTATTTTCTTTATAAAATTTTTTTGACAGCATGCAAAATCCGTTCCTTGAGAATGACAGATTTAAGATCGTTTACTAGGGGTTTGTTTTTCTTAACGTCGGCTTCGTGTATCGGCATGTTGATAATTTTACCTATTTCAACGACTATTTTAGAGATTCCCTGCTTACTTTCATCATTTGCTTTTGGTAAATTTCTTATCTCTAAGCTGGTAGTACGGGCTTGCCTCTCTAGTTGGTCTATTTTATCCTCTAATTGACGTATGTATTTCCGATCTTCAGCCATATCCTTTTCAATTTTTTTGCTACTTTTCCAGACCTCATCATATTTTGCAGCTGTGAATTTAACTGATTCCTTAAGCTCTTTGTTTTGATCTTTTATCTCGTTCATTGTAGTCTTTAGCTCTTGAAACATATTCATCATTAATGACTTAAAGTCGTCTAAATCACTCTTTTCTCCTAAATTTTCCCTTTTCCTTTTTGTGTTAAAATTACGCTGCGTCACATTAGATAATGCATCCTCGATATCCACAGATATACTCAAGTTTGGATCTGAGTGTGTTTGAGAATGAACTACGCCAACATTTAAATTTGTGGGTGTTAGCGGCGGGGTTCTCTTTAGCGGCATATTCTACCCGAACGTGGATGTACCAGGGCAACAGAAATTATTCGTAGATTGTTAATACAGCTACTATGCGGACAGCGTAAAACACACTAACTTAACCCTTATGAAAGTGATCCAAGACGTGAGAGGTCAAATTAAATTGGTGGCAATCGACGATTTCTTACAAATTGCCTTTCCGTCTAGTATTAGTAGATCTCTAGACGGTAATTATTACTTAATTCATATATATTACAAATGCTGTCTCAATTCTCAATTAGATTGCAAAGGTAACTCACATGCATAACAATGTCTTTGTTTCTTCTATGATTGTATTATTTCGTCGCACACGCATCCACACTGCGGTGACAATTTTAAGCTTGATGCTCTTCGTAACGTATGATCTCCTATTATTCCACTAATATTATTTTACAAGAATTTTAAATATACTAGAATTTTAATTAGCAAACAACAAAATAAACACGTCTGATCTTCTCGAATGTCCGGGGGGAAGGGGGAAAAATTCTGAACTGATGGCGGGCCGCCAGAAGTAGAGGTAATTATGAACTGATGGCGGGCCGCCAGAAGTAGAGGTAATTCTGAACTGATGGCGGGCCGCCAGAAGTATAGGTAATTATGAACTGATGGCGGGCCGCCAGAAGTAGAGGTAACTATGAACTGATGGCGGGCCGCCAGAAGTGTAGGTAATTATGAACTGATGGCGGGCCGCCAGAAGTATAGGTAATTATGAACTGATGGCGGGCCGCCAGAAGTATAGGTAATTATGAACTGATGGCGGGCCGCCAGAAGTGTAGGTAATTATGAACTGATTGCGGGCCGCCAGAAGTATAGGTAATTATGAACTGATGGCGGGCCGCCAGAAGTATAGGTAATTATGAACTGATGGCGGGCCGCCAGAAGTATAGGTAATTATGAACTGATGGCGGGCCGCCAGAAGTAGAGGTAATTATGAACTGATGGTGGGCCGCCAGAAGTATAGGTAATTATGAACTGATGGCGGGCCGCCAGAAGTATAGGTAATTATGAACTGATGGCGGGCCGCCAGAAGTGTAGGTAATTATGAACTGATTGCGGGCCGCCAGAAGTATAGGTAATTATGAACTGATGGCGGGCCGCCAGAAGTATAGGTAATTATGAACTGATGGCGGGCCGCCAGAAGTATAGGTAATTATGAACTGATGGCGGGCCGCCAGAAGTAGAGGTAATTATGAAATGATGGCGGGCCGCCAGAAGTATAGGTAATTATGAACTGATGGCAGGCCGCCAGAAGTATAGGTAATTATGAACTGATGGCGGGCCGCCAGAAGTATAGGTAATTATGAACTGATGGCGGGCCGCCAGAAGTGTAGGTAATTATGAACTGATTGCGGGCCGCCAGAAGTATAGGTAATTATAAACTGATGGCAGGCCGCCAGAAGTATAGGTAATTATGAACTGATGGCGGGCCGCCAGAAGTATAGGTAATTATGAACTGATGGCGGGCCGCCAGAAGTAGAGGTAATTATGAACTGATGGCGGGCCGCCAGAAGTATAGGTAATTATGAACTGATGGTGGGCCGCCAGAAATAGAGGTAATTATGAACTGATGGCGGGCCGCCAGAAGTAGAGGTAATTATGAACTGATGGCGGGCCGCCAGAAGTAGAGGTAATTATGAACTGATGGTGGGCCGCCAGAAATAGAGGTAATTATGAACTGATGGCGGGCCGCCAGAAGTAGAGGTAATTATGAACTGATGGCGGGCCGCCAGAAGTAGAGGTAATTAAAGACAGTAAAGAATTGATAATAATGTATTTAAATTGGAAAAGAACTTATTAATTTGAAGCGTGGCACTGCATAGTGCTTACAATGTTTTTTTATATTTGGCTCAAATTTACTTGTAGCAACACGTAAAACTGCTTCCAAACTTTCATTTGCAAGGCGGTTTCGATTTTTTGTTTTATTATTATTTAGTATTGAAAAGGTTTGTTCACATATATAGGTAGAACCAAATAAGCTGGCACATTTCAGAGCGTTTATGCGCAACTCTTTGTACGTATTTTTATCAATTCAGCGGTAAAAGTTCAGCAAGTCTCATTCGTTGAATTTGTTGCGTAAATCTTGGTCGTTTTGAATGTCGATAATTTCTAACTGCATTGACACTGGCGCATTTTCAACTTAAATCGTAAAAGGATTGCTGGATATGTTCAACAGAGGTTTCACTTTTTTTAAACTCCGAAAATCTGTCTTGAAAAGATTGAATCAAAATATCTAAATTCTACATAACTGAAATTAATCGCAGTTTTGTTGAATTTTTCAGCCCTTTTCTTATAATTCGGAAAATGATTGTAATTTCCAGAATTCAATTGCGATCTGAAAATTGTCAGCTTGTGTTGAAAGGATGATACATGAGCGTAGAGCTGGGATATCAGTTAATTTTTGCCTTGAAAGTCAAGACATTTAAATGATTTGTAATATCAACTAAAAAAGCCAAATTACACAACCAATCAGGATTTTTAAGTTCCGGGACATCCCTTTGCTTTTCCGCCAGAAATATTCCAATTTCTTCTATTAAATTTAGAAGTCGTTCCAGTGTCAATTCACGACTTAGCCACCTTACTTCTGTATAATACAGTAAATCTCCATATTCGCTTTCGATGTCAAGGAATTGTTTGAATGGCCTGTGATTCAGTCCTCGTGATTTTATGAAATTTACAGTCGAAACTACCACTTTCATGACATTTTGAAATTCAATTTTTTAGAACAGAGGGCTTCTTGGTGTATAATGCAGTGAAACTGCATGAGATTTTCAGCGTTTATGTTTTTTCTTGCAGATGCTTTTTCAGCAAAGTAACTAGCCCAGAATTGACACCAATCATCGAAGGAGCACCGTCAGTCGCAACTCCCGATAATTTTGATAAGTCCAAATCAGTTTTTGAACACTCATCCATAAGTACATTGAGTATATCAACTCCTCTGGTTTGACCTTTCAATGAACACATTCCTAATAACTCTTCTAAGACTTCAAAATCTTGAGTAACACCTCGTATGAATATCAGAAGTTGAGCTGTGGAACTAATATCAGTGGATTCGTCGAGTGCTAATGAAAAAAATTCAATGATCTTAGTTTTTTCATTTAATTGTTCCGCAATATTACCTGACAAAGACATAATTCGTTTTTGGATAGTCATATGATTCAGTTTACACACAAACAGACGGCCCCCAGTCCCCGGCGGCCCCGCTATTCCTGGCTACGGTGGCGACCATGGTAACGGCGGGGCAGGGGGTGCTAAGAATCTCCGGTGGAGGTTCGGTTGCCACCTACGACGACTCGACCTGGCAACATATAACGCACGCACCCTGAGGACTGACGAGAAGATACTGGAGCTGGAAGAAGAGGTAGACAAGTTGCGCTGGCATATTATTGGATTATCCGAGGTCCGAAGAGAGGGGGAGGACACGGCAATCCTCGAGTCCGGCAACTTGTTCTATCACCGGGAGGGCGACCATCTGTCCCAAGGAGGTGTCGGATTTATCGTCCACAAATCTCTCGTCAACAACGTTGTAAAGATTGGGAGTGTGTCGACGAGGGTCGCGTACCTGATACTCAGAATCACCAAACGGTATTCGCTGAAGGTCATTCAGGTTTACGCACCAACCTCGGCACATCCCGATGAGGAGGTGGAGGAAATGTATGAGGATATTTCCAGAGCCATACATTCCTCCAAAACCTACTACACGGTGTTGATGGGAGACTTCAACGCAAAACTGGGCACAAGAGAAAGCGGTGAGCTGAAGGTAGGGAAATTTGGAGTAGGGCAACGGAACCGAAGGGGCCAGCACCTGGCCGACTTTATGGAGAAAGAGGGACTCTTTATGATGAACTCTTTCTTCCAGAAGCGGCCCCACAGGAAGTGGACCTGGTCGAGCCCCGACGGTTCGACAAAAAATGAGATTGACTTCATTATGACGACCAGACGCCAACTGTTCAGTGATGTCTCAGTGATCGCAAGGGTGAAAACTGGCAGCGATCACCGAATGGTTAGAGGCACACTGAACCTAAACGTTAAGTTGGAGAGGTCTCGTCTAATGAAGTCAACGCTCCGTCCCCCTCGTGCTCTAATCCAGAATCCCGAAACCTTTCAGCTCGAGTTACGTAACCGCTTCCAGTGCCTAGAGGATTGCAATGCAGTGGACGATATGAACGACAAGCTCGTGGAAACTGTCCATGCGGTCGGAGCTAAGTTCTGCAAGACCCGCCGCAGAAGAACACAAAAACTCTCCGATCACACTCTTAATCTCATGGCTGTTAGACGGGAGATGAGGCTGCAATCGTCAACAGATTTGACAGCATACAGGCAACTGAACAGACAGATCTCCAAATGCATACGGCGAGACTTACGCAACTTTAATACTTCTCGTATTAAAGAAGCGATCGAGCGGAACCAGGGCTCCAAAGTCTTTGCCAGAGATCTGTCTGCCAGAAAGAGCCAACTGTCAAGGCTGAAGACTGAGTGTGGCAACATCGTTTCCGGGACACCTGAGATTTTGAGTGAGATTGAGAGGTTCTATGGGCAGCTGTACACATCATCGTTGGAGCCACACGCAAGTGTGAGTAACGATCCAAGAGCAAGTCTTATCCGACACTATTCCGATGATATCCTGGACGTCAGTCTAAGCGAGATTAGAATGGCTCTCCAGCACCTTAAAAACGGCAGGGCCCCAGGCGAGGATGGAATTACAGCGGAGCTTCTGAAAGCGGGTGGAACACCGGTACTTGAAGTCCTTCAGAAGCTCTTCAATTCCGTCCTCCATGGTGGCACTACTCCAGAGGCGTGGAGCAGAAGTGCGGTGGTCTTGTTCTTTAAGAAAGGCGACAACGCTCTCTTAAAGAACTACAGACCGATTTCCCTTCTGAGCCGCGTCTACGTGCTGTTTTCGAGAGTCATTACGAATCGTCTCGCACGCAGACTTGACGACTTCCAGCCTCCCGAACAAGCCGGTTTCCGAAAAGGCTTCAGTACCATAG